ATGAGTTATTTCTCTTTTTTTTTTAATATAGGTGGCAAGTCTCCATTGATTATTTGTGAAGATGCTGATAGTAAATCTTTAAAAAAATTCTTAAATAATTAATTTCTATGTTTTTTTCTTATCTATTAAATAGTCGATTATGCTGTGTCCGTTGCTCATCGAGCTATTTTTACTAATGCTGCACAAAATTGTACTGCTGGATCTCGTACATTTGTTCATTCAAAAATTTATGATGAATTCATTGCTCGAAGTGTTGAACTAGCTAAAAAACGTGTTGTTGGTGATCCATTTGATCCTGATACTGAACAAGGTCCACAGGTATGAAGTGATTATATTCCAACGAAAAAAAAAAACATTAAATTCAATATCATATTATAGATTAATGATAGTCAATTTCAAAAGATTTTAAGTTATATTGAATCTGCTAAAAAAGATGGTGCTAAATTAGAATGTGGTGGTGAACGAGCTGGTAATAAAGGTTATTTTATTAAACCAACAATCTTTAGTGGTGTCAAAGATAACATGAAAATTGCTCGTGAAGAAGTATAATGTGTTTTTTTTTCTTTGTCAAACTTTATAATAATATAATTGTTTAGATCTTTGGTCCTGTAATGTCTGTATTAAAATTTGATTCATATGAAGAAGTTATCAAACGAGCTAACGGTACATCTTTTGGTCTTGGTGCTGGTGTAATTACAAAAGATTGTAAGTGAAGAGAAAAAATGAATGAATTTATAATGATTATTTCTTTTTTGTTTTTTATTTTCTAGTAACACGTGGTCTTACATTTGCTCAACAATTACAAGCTGGATCCGTTTGGGTAAATGATTATGATGCTGTGTGTAATCAAGCACCATTTGGCGGTTTTAAACAATCAGGTCATGGACGTGAATTAGGACGATATGGTCTTGAAGCATATTATGAAGTCAAAACAGTTGTTATCAAACTTGTTTAAGAAGAAAAAATTAGAAATTTCTAATTACGAACAGTTATTTTGATTTTCTAGTTTGATTCTCTTAGATTTAAGATATTCCAACTGTTTTAATAAATTTAAAAAAAATATATTGATCAATTTAGTCAATTTGATATTTGACGTTCAGCAATGTTTGTTTGAACTAATTCAGTGACAGAGATAATTTTTGCATTTTAATAATCACAATCATTGGTTTTGTGCACATGTTAACTTCGAACCATGGATATAATTCATATATATGACATGATCGTAAATGAGTTTCACTTTATAATTAGGAAAAAGATATACAAGTAAAATAGAATACGTAGAAGTAAATTGAATATTGAAGAATGAAAAGTAGAGTCAATCTTTTTTCTGTTGTGTTCAAATCTTAATTATTGATTATATGGAGTGTCTCAAGAATCCATTCGAAACATTTACGTGAATAACTCTTAACTAGTTAAAACAATTTTTATATACAGTGACGGTCAAAACTATTCAACCAGTAGACAGATTTATTTTTAGCTAAAATTGTAGGGTTTTTGTTATAACACAGGCAACACTAATTCGGATACCTATGGGAATTTTTACACCAACCCACATAATTGTTTGGTTTTTTATTAGGCGACAAAGTCATAAAATGCCTTTTTTCATTTTGTTTTTTTTTTTGCGATCTCCACACACGTATTTCAGTATAAAAGTTTTTGTAAGACATATCATTCGAAAGAGCAAATTATTTTCTATATAATGAACTACGTTTTATTGCATTGATTTACAAAGAACGTTCGAACATGAATATTCTCGAGGCCATTTCAAGTCTTTATGGGGGTATTCTTTTTCTATTAATATTCAATTAATTTCGACACATAATACATCATTAAAAAAAAGCATGAAAAACTGCATTAGACTTTTTTTTCTTTAAATGACTATTCGGTGCGATATTGCCTCTAATAATAAATGTCTCTTACGAAAAAAATTATTGACATATTTTTTTCTTGATTGTTATATTGGTATTAGAACTTGAACCAGCATTAACTTGTGGTAAGTTCATACTTCGTGTTAAATCCTACTAATCTTTATGTTTAACTATTAAATAGGCAATGCCGTGATTGTGAAACCAGGTGAACAAACACCACTTGCTGCACTCTATTGTGCTTCTCTTACCAAAGAAGCATTTTTCATCATTTTAAATAAATTCTTGATTCTATTTATTCATGATGTTATAGAATGAATTTGCACCAGGTGTTGACAACATTATACCAGATAAAAAAAAGATAATATTATGATAACGATTTGATGATATGATTTAGGTGATGAATCTAAATATGGCAATATGCAATTCCTGTTCATGAAGATATTGATAAAGTAGTTTGTACAGGTTTAATTGAAGTAAAAATATTAGACTAAAAAAAAAATAAAAAGTAATAATCAATGTTTGACTAAAGATTGGAAAGAAAGTTCTAGAAGCTATAGCTAAATCAAATCTTAAACGTGTAGCTCTTGAAATTGATAAGTAATATTGAATGAAGTTGATCATGAATATTTGAAAAAAAAATAAGGTGCTTGTTTGTTATCGCCCCGCAAAAATTTTTAAAATTTTCAAGATAAAATACGATCATAATGAATAAAACAGCACATCGTTAGTACTAGTCTTCTGGTGGCCAAAATGCGGCGATATCATCTAGAATCGCATCAAACGGGTCACGTCCATTCAGCCTTGAACACCACATATGTTCACATAGATATGAATCGACAAAAGCTCGATTGATCCCTTACCTTTTCCTGTTTTCATCCTTCGGACCTCGCCAAGCTCTTTCGATAGTTTGCGTGTGGGCTCCATTTGTGGATCTACGAAATTGTACTTATGATTGATGGTAAGGTGAGCAAAGCCAGTGGCAGCCAATTCGTTGTAACTGCGCCATTTGTCTATTATAATTGGTGTTCCGGGTTTGACTCGATTGGTGATGTTCGGAAGAAGCGTGGCTGCACTTTTATCTGGAACAGTTTCCATAAAATACTCACCAGTTTCTCGGCAGATTCCACCTAAGACCCATTGCTGCGGTAATACATGTCCAACATGATTCTTTCTTCGACTGAATAGACTTTCGTCGATCTCCACAGTGATATTGATTTCTCCAATCATCATTTGTGTCTGTTGAAGTTTCCAAGCACATACTTCCCTTAAGTAGTTGTTCCAATCCACGACAGTATTTTGATCGATTTGAAGTTCATCTTTTGAAAACTCCACCGATGTCTTTCTTCGAGACCAAGAATAAATGAATAAAATGACTTTTCGAAGAGGAAGTCTCGAACCAACTAACCAATTATTTGTGCGTAAACCTTTATCTTGACGACATCCACTTAAGCAGCATCTCCATCAATCTTTAGCACCCAAGGACAATTTCATTTTGTGGCCATTCTTGCAAAATCTTTGAGCTTGTATTATTCCACGTTGTTGTAAATATTCGACGCTTGAAATCTCACCAGGAATTTGTTCAGACAAACGTAGGAAATTCATGATGAAAATGTGTACAGAATATGATGATCTGTCACGTACTATCTACTAGTCAAGATAAAGCTGATCGTCACACATACATTTTTATTGTTTAACAGACGGATATATATATGTGAGAGGAAAGAACCTACTAGAGAGATCTACATGAACAATATATATAAGATAGAGATAGAAAGGAAAGAAAGAATGCACTTGAATATACTAGAACCATACATACATGCATTCATGCATGATAGCAGAACGAAAGAAGATATAGATGAAATCACATACATGCTGGCATCACAGCAATAATAGAAAGAAAGGAAATATGTACTAGTCATAATACGGGCATGATAGGAATGATAATAAGATGAAAAGATAGAAAGCTAAAGGGTATGATAATATTAAAAAAGTAAAAATAATTTTGCGGGACGATAACAAACAAGTACCAAAAATAATCAAATCAGTATTTTCTGTCTTATTGAAAACTGAATTATACTATTAATATTGCTCAATATGTTATACTGTTAATGATGCATGTTAACAGGCAAAATTTGTCGATTTGTTAATGCAAAAATTTTTGATAACTTTATCACTTGAAGAATTGAATCATTTAAAAAAACAAAGAGCTTGTTTGTAATTCATTTAATCTAAAAATTTAACATTTTATAAAACACTTGAAATTCATTTTATAAATTCTTTGATTGATAATAGTCAATTTCAAATTATGTTGAATCCGATAAAAAAAGATTAAAGCTAAATTAGAATATACTGATGATAAAGCTGATTTTGTTCAACTGTTTCTAATGATGTGAAAAATGATATGGAAAAATTGCTCGTGAATAAGTATTGACTTTGTCCTATTTCGTTTTCTTTGCAAATATCGATTTATGATTTTGCATTGAATGTTTATATTAAAATTTGACTGTTATGAAAAAGTTATTCAACGAACAAATAACACAACATAAGGACTCGTTGCTGATATGATAGTTAAAGACATATTTATTGATGACAATTTTATTTTTCTATTAAAACATGATTTACATATATCGCCAATGAAGACAATTGTTGCTAAACTTATATGAGAAGAAAAACACAAATTTTTAATAATAAATAGTTATTTTAATTTTTCTTTTTTCTTTGTTTTTTTTAAATCTATTTTTTTCCAATATATTGTAAAAATAAATGAAAAGATTATAATAAACCATTGAAATCGATTTTCTATTTTTTTTAAAGCTAAGCAATGCAAATGGAGACGGAATAAAAGGTAATAATTCGTTCTATTGCTTTTCCTACGTTATGTCATTTAATTCGTTCGACGATAGAAACGAAGAAAAAAAAACGTACGTTAATGAAATTCGATGACAGACAGCAATAGTTCATCGAAATTTTGTTCATTCTGTATATGAACATGAATTTTTTCTAGTCTAGAATGAGCAACATTGTCCTTTTTTGACCTTTTCCGTTTATTTTGAACGCATTATATTCAGACGTAAGAGTCAATTTGAAAAAGTGTATAACTAAGAGAGCAAAAAAAAAACAAAGAAAAAGAAAATGCCCCGAGGGATTAGTTGGAGTTTTAATGAAACCGAAGCATTAATTCGTCTTTGGGCTGATTCAACAACTCAAACAGCCTTACGTTTAAATAGTCGAAATCGTTGTATTTATGAAGATATTGCAAATCAATTACAGGCTATTGGAATAACTCGTACAGCTGATCGTAAGTTAAAATATTATGTTTTTTTTATTTCTTATTAAATGAAAATAATACTCTAGAATGTCAAATGCGTATAAAATTATTAAAAAAAATGTATCGACAAACAAATGAAGCTATAAAGCGTGGTGATATTTTTCAACAACGTCCATGTCCATTTTATAATGAAATGCATCGAATTTTTTCTGGTATAGAAGATCTCAATGGATCTTCATTATTATCAAATTCTCAATCTTTATTGATAGATTATGCCAAAGATGACGACGACGAAGAAGAAGAAATTGATGATACTATTGATGATGAAATAAAAAATCTTGAACAAGAAAATGAAAATCATATTCATTTAGAAGATTCAACTAAAGATAAATTAATTCAAGCTATTGATCGATTAATTCAATATCAAAAACAAAATGAAGTAAAGAATAATTTTTTCTTTTTTTTTAGTTTTGAAATTTATATAGATTATTTTTTTGTGTTTGTTTCTTTTTTTTTTGTTCTAGGCTCGTTGGTATAAATATCTTGAACAACAAGCTAATCTTGAATTACAACGTCGACAAGAAGATCGAGCATATCAACTTCAATTAATTCAATTACTTACAAATGTTATTTCAACAAAAACAAATTCATCAACATTTCTTCAACAATTACTTATGAATAATAATAATTCTCAAATAGAAAAAATCTTACCACAACATGATAATAATTCAAATCGAGGAGAAAAACGTAAATCTTCATTAATATCATCCGATGATGAGAAAAAACCAAAAATACGACAATCAATACCATCAAATTTTTATTCACTTCTTGCACAAATACATAATATTAATAATATGGATGATTCAAGTTGATATTTATCGTTATTCATGTTTTTTTCTTGTTATATATTGTATAGGATAATATGTTTTGCTTTTGTAAAAAAAAAAAAAGATGTTTTCATGTAATATCAATAAAATTAATTCATTTTTACAAGAAAAATAGATGATTATCATCGGCAAAATTTCTTGAAGTCAAATAGATGTTTGAAACAATTTGCAAAGTTTTTATTATCTTTAGAATAAGAGTTTGAAGAATTAGTTTTATTTTCATAATTTGAGATCATCAGAATGAATTCAAAGGTAAATCAGTACGATGATTACTATAGAATTCTGTAAATCAATGAAACAGTATTCTATTCGGTAGTAGAAAATGGATATGATTAAATAATATATGTCAAACTTGAACCTGAAGAGCTTAAGATTTACTATATGTCGAAATGCTTTGCAAGCAGTTTTATTTTTTTATATGTTTTTTAAATAAAAAAATTTCGATACTCAATGTGTCATATTTATAGCTATTATCTTATAGTATTCGAATTCTATATTCTTACGACTTTGTTGTCATTCTATATCAAAATTGAAAATTTTCATTTATCTAACGAGAAAAATCCCGCAGCTAATTAATCGCTTTTTGAATCGACCACTATGTGTATTATGTAGATCTTAATAAGCTATGAATACTTTGAAAAGAGTTCGGATTCTTAGCTTATTGGTGTGGAGATACTGCATTTTGACAGTATTTTTCAAATCAATGATGTAGCTCCCCTGTCAGGCACACTAGAAGAATTGATTTCTGAATGCCGACTTGAAACTTTGCATGAAGATTGGCCTTTATAAAAATAGGTTATTGTGAAAGTTTCAGGTCCTCTAATTTACTCAAGGGGAATCGGCGGATTCCCGAGATTTCGAATCCCATGGAAATCCCGGGAATCCCGAGAATCCTATGGAAACTCCAAGAATACTTGAACTAGATGTCTGAATAACACTGAAATTATAACTCATGCTCAAGCATACCAAGTATCAATTCATTCACTTAATATTTTGAAACCTATTCCTTTAAAAGAACCATGTAGAGGTATAGGAGATAAGGATGTGGGTATGAATGTTTCGTGGGGATGGGAAGAAAACGTAGATCCACACCCTCATCAATATCGTTGACTGAACATTCTGGGCTATAGAAGCGACTGTTTTCTAACGGAATAGCGGTAGCCAAATTATGACATCTAGTATGATTATTTATACAGCTCATATAGGTGAGAAATCTCAAACGCTTTGCATAATGACGTTCATATTGATTCATAGAAGGTAGAATCGGACTACAACTTTAAATTCCGCATAAAATATGTAGATATAATTGAAATAAGGAGCTAACTCCGTAGCCGAACTTGCGGTCTTTTCATTTTATCCAATATTAGTAAATCGTAGTCTCGAGGTCAAGACTATTCTTCCTACATTGATCAATAATGATCTATCCGTTAATATTAATACAAAAATCAAACATAAGTAAATAATCTATCGACTTTTTACTGAATGATAGGAATTATATACTAATCGATTAGCTTATATTAGTTCACCATCCAGCTCATTTAATAAAATAGATATGATTAATGAGGAAACGTAACAAGTTAGTTCTAATTGATTTTACTCTGATTTTGGCTGCTCTTTCATGGACAATGGAAAATGAAACAGAAGAGTTTCTTGTGTCCCTAGTATTGGTTTATATCTGATGAGAAAATTTATCTAGACTTAATGATGACTAGGTTAGTTTTTTTCTATGGAAGAATAAATATTACCCGAGTTTCACAATTCAAGGAAAACTTGGAGGTACCAATTAAGTTTTCGAGAAAAAGGCAGACCGATAGAAAACACAAAGAATAGAAGTGCGAAACTCAATGAGGTTCTTGAATATTCGAGCAAAGCTCAGGCAATCCAGTACATGTGAGATCTATTTTGTTTCCCTTTCAAATCCAGTGAGTTGAACTTTTCATTAAAGTTTTCAAAAATATCACAAAAGACAAGAAAAAGACGGCTTCGAAGCAATCAGTTTCAAAATTATCTCATGATCTTCTCCTTTATGATCATTTGAAAAAGACTATTTATCAAGTTTATAATCTAGACTATAATCTTCTTTTCAGATTTGATGGTAATGTTGCTTGAAATAAAACAAGAGAATCTTCGATAAAACAAGATAGATCATTTGTGCGAGTCTAATGTGAAAAAGAATCCGTACTGTCTAATCTGATAAAAATAATTACAATTCATTGGATCAAGACTCAAGCTAGTAGTTCAAATCTTATGTCGCTTTTTTTATCCAAATCAGAGAAATATACAGTGGGGACCAATTGAAATTCTCCTTACTGCTTTTTTTTGTTACTATACTTCTTTTACTTTTTAATCTACTATATATAGCGAAGAAGCCCGGAACGTATTGCATCTTTTGGTATATTTATGTTGAATATTAAATGCAGTTAAAAGTATAAAAAATGTATTAAAAAAAGTGACATTTTTCTTTTTACTATGGGGTATCCATAATGTTGTAATATTTTTTATTTCGCAAATATCTTTGTTTAGATGAATGATAACATCTTGAATTGTTTTTGAAAAGATGCGCTGCGAAAAGCTCTATAAAACCTGTATGATTGAATTCTATTTCACCTATTCTAATGGGTTTTCTTATACTCACAATGAACAACCTACATGACAATCTCACTTCCCATAGTATTGAAAAATGTTTGAAAGACTTTTTTGTTTTGCATATATCTTGACTCGCATGGACTTTTGGCCGGACATTAGTTAATAGTTTGTTCCTCATTTGATAATTACATCAATATAACAAGAATAAATCTCTTTGTTTTCTCAAGTCAATAATATGTATCTTAAAAGTTTACCTCAAAAAAAAAAAACCTTAAATTTCATCATAATTAATTTTCCCAGCCTATAAACAAATCATTTTAATCAGCGTTCATTTGTTAAGAAACAAAAAAAAACGTTTCTTTTGTTGTTTTTTCGTGCATTAAAAAAATTCATGTCAAACGTACAACAATAGGGGAGAAAAAAAACGAAGAAAAGAGAAAAACAATAACAGAAATATGCCAATGGACAGATATTTTGTTCTTTGGCATAAAAAAAAACAATGACAAGAATACTAATAATAAAAAATAAGCAGACCAAAGTAAAAAGAAAGAAAAAAAACAATATATTCTATTCTATCATATACATGATAATTCTAAGTACGTATGAATTATTATTTTATTTTTAATAAAAATTCCTTACATATATTTGCATATGTGTATTCAAAAAACAAGCAAACAGTTATTATTACGAATAATAAAGACAAGTACATAGAAAGAAAAAATAATAATAATAACATATTTACTTTTTAGCAAACAGAAAAAAAAATAAGGCCTATAGATTAGTCTATAAAGAGCAAAAAGACACTTTGTTTTGTTTCACTACTGTTATTGAGAAGTTGTATAATCACCTAAATCATGTTCATTTTGATAGAAGAGTGCTAAGCGCTCTTGTATTGCTTCTGGTTGATGTGGTTGTCGTCGATCAAATGAATAAGATTTACCTTGTGCATCAATAAATATTTGTCCATCAGGAGCATCATCACGTATAATCATTACACTATCATCACTAAATACTACACGAAAAGTTCGATTTGAATATTCAGTTATTGATTTTCGAGTTAATGGCATTTTATTTGTACCAATTACTTGTTGTGTTGTTATCATTGTTGTTCCATCATTTGTTATTGAATTAAGTGATGCTGTTGATGCACACATATTATTATTGATATTTGTTGATGATGGACGATTAGAGAAAGATGAACTAGATAATGTATCTGGTGTATAAAATGATGAAGGATGTACTGATTGTGAACGAGATTGATTTGCTGTTTGTATAGACGATTTAGGTTTATAAGTTACTTGATAATGATGATAATCAGACATACGTGATGCTGATGATGATATAGAAAAGATATTAGAAGGATTTTTTACTTTTCTAATATCATTTTCAGATGCAAATTCCAGTCGAGTAGATAATATTGGCGAAGGTGTATCAATGGATGATGAAGGTACTACATTAGGTTCATTGATTGTTGATGATGAACCACCAAGTCTACTTAAAGGTGTCCGACTAACAGAACTTGGAGTATCTATGTACAAGAAATATTCATGTGCGTTGTTCAAAAAAAAACAAAAACAAATGTGATATTTTAGGTTGTGAAAATAATTCTATTCTATACACCGTTTATCTATTAGCGAAATCTCTGAAGCAGTTAAAAAGTATTTCTTTCGTTAGACTATACTCTCAAACTATTCCTGAACTTTATCTCATTAACATAAAAGCTTCATCAAATCATAGCATATTTAAGTTATCATAGTCTTAACTAATAATCAATAGATGACTTCTATTATGAATATTTCTAATAAAAAACAATTTTTTACTTGGTCTATTTAAATCTGGTTGTATATTTTTTTTTCCAAATTGAACAGGAAAAACTTGAATTGATGAAAAATTTCTTTGACTTTCTTCAAGAATTTTATCTTTTGATAAACAAAATTTATAACACTACAGAAAATAAATAATAATTAAAAAAAAACAAAGACTAAAAAAAAAATATTTACCAGAATTGCATTATCAATCATTTGACGTATTTCTGGGCTAAAATGTTCAATAGCAGATATATTTGGTGTTGTAATACGATCATATTCTAGTAATGATTCTGATTTATCATTATTATTTATAATTTTTATTTTTAATGAATCATCAGATTTACAATGTTCTCGAAATATTGTTATTTTAACACCGCATAAAAAAACAGCTTCAAAATCTACACCTGTTTCCATTAATGAACATTTAGCATAAGGTGTATAAAGTATTATTTTAGGGCTACGTGAACGAACTAATGTAACAAATCTTAAAACAAAAAAAAAAGCGCAATGATATTTGATTTTTCTCTTTTTTCAAAAAAAAAATTTTACTTATAAGCATATTGATATTTTTTCCAATATTCCGATGGTAATCTATCAAAATGATATTGTTGATAAGCATTTTTATCACGTGGTATTGGTGGTGGATGATCCTTTGCTGGTGAACCATGACGACTATTTGGTATATATGTTATTATATGTAAACCATCGGGTGATACACGAAATACATCAACTATACGACGTTTTGTACTTTTTGTACGTATACTTTCAAGTACAACTTCACCATTATCCATAATATTCATCTAACATAAATTTTTTTTTATTAAAAAAAACAAAGAAAATGAATAATTAAACTTACTATTAATGTTTTTGTTGCTTGACGATGTGGTTTTAATCGTTGTGTATTTAATGGTGAAAGTTTTTCACGTATTTGTTCCGCATTTATATTAAAACCTTGTTCAGATTGTGTTATTAATGCATGTTGATTTGATTCAGATGATGATAATCTATGATGTCCCATTGTTAAGGGATTATTATTTGATACATAATGATTATTACTATTATCAATTGATACTTTTGGACTTGATTCAGATTTTGCACTACAATCAATAGAAGTTTTTGGTTCAGATTGTGCAACACCACTATCTTGAGATCGAACTGATGATGTTGCACTTGTAGGACGAGGATCATTTAAAGTTATTGTTCCATTATAACTATTATCAATATATCTTGAAGATATATCCAAAGATGGACTAAAAGAAAATATAAATGAATTTCTTCTTCTTTTTTTTCTTTATTGTATTAATTCGTTTATATAAATACCTTTGTCCAATATAAGTTGGTTGTTGTTGTGCAGAATGTTTAACATAATATTCATATGTTTTATTTCGAGCTGGTGTACTTTTATATATTGGTTCATTATGTTGTAATGTTGGTGGAGAAGATATTGGATTTGGTCTGAGAAAGAGAAGAAAAAAATGTAAAAGAATGTATTTGATGAATAAAATATGACACAAAAAAAAACAGTATTTGTTTAATTATAGAAAATTATTCAAACAATCATTTTTATTAGAAAAAGTTTGAATATTACGGAAATCATCAGAATGCTTTTTATAATTGTATTTAAAAGTCGATCATGACGTTATAAACATTAATCATTGACAGTATTAAGTAAACGCATTTCTATTAGAAATTTATGATGAAACACTGTATCAAAGAGTTTGTAACAATTATGAAATAGTCCACAATCCTTTAAACTTTTGAAAGGAAGGAGAGCAACAAGTGTAAAACACTGCAGATCGACATTCTTCGTAAACTTTATTGTAGAAATTAACGATCTTTCAAATACTATGAAAAGATCGGGAGAAAGGAACAGGAAATTTCTTACGTAATTCACGCTGCTTATTTGTATTGCTTTTCATTAAGGATAATGAAAGTCAAAATTTACAGGAAGACAAAAAACCAATTCAATACTCAATAAGTTTTGATAAGTCTAAATTTTTCTCATAAAATACTGTTCAATCAAATATAGACGTAAACGTTCTAATTTCTCATACTTGAACAATATTTTCAAAGCCTTTGACAAACAAAGAATCTTGAGAAAAGGAACCGAGTGTCATTAAGTAAGAGAGGAAAATGATAATTTCGAATTGTACCAAACCCTTCTCTGGTGAAAAAAAGATTAAAAACTATTACAATTTCACTTTCTTTTTCTGTATTGAATAAAAAAATATGTCTGTTCTTCTTTGCTCGTCTTTTTTTTGTTATTCATTAGACCGCTACTACACATTTAGTTTTTGGTTCTTTTAACTAAACAGAAACGAAAAATTTTCAATTATTTAAATCGAAGGCACATTCTCAACGTTTATCATCATAATTAATTCTATTAGCTGTCTAGAAGAAGTATATTCCTTCGTCTTTTCGTGCTATTATTAATTAGTCCAATTTATTAAAGTTACCTATGTGCAAAACTTGTCCGGAAAAATTGTTTTTAACACGTTTCCTATTTTATTCTAATCAATATATAGAATATATACCGAGTTTTTATTTATACGAGCAATTTCAAAAGTATCCTTTAAAGCTATCACCTTTAATGGAAATACAAAAATTTACCCTTTCCTCCTATATGTATAAAGACATTATGCAACGATTTGTTTTTAATTACTTCAATTTCTTGAAATTGATTCATCTCTTCTAAACTACTGATAATCAAGCTTATCGGTCAGCGAGAAGCGAACTATCTTTCAGTAATGTACTCATCCCGTATACTGCTAGACAATCACTTTTTTTTATTCTATATAATCCGGTGCAGAAAGCTTTGAAGCATATCAAGGTTATCTTGTTGATCGATCGTTAGATCATCAAAAAAAAAAAAATCACTCAACAATCAATTTGCTTCATATGACACATCACACGGTAAGTTTTGGTGAGTATATTACAACTTTAAAGCAACACACGGATCATTTCGAATTCAAATACAACAGTTGTGTTTCTTAATCAATACAGAAGGTGAGCGTGTATAATAACATTCAAGAAAATTGAAGCAATTAAAAAAATAAATGTTGTGTAATGCCTTTATAACATATAGAAAAAAAAGGACTAAATTTTTGTATTTTCGTTAGAAATGATAGATTCCAAGCATGCTTTTGATAAAGTTGAATTAAATAGTAAAGATATACGAAAAAAAAACTTTGGGGACATATTGTATATTAATTATATATATATTGAAAGAGTTATACTAATTTTAATATTTATTATATCCTATACAATTATACTTAAAGAGTTGTGTAATAAACAAATGATAGACTTCAAGGGTATAGAAAAATACTTATATATCATGAATGTACAATCTTCATTTAGATGTTAACTATTGAATAGATTTAATTAAGAAAAAAATAATAACAGATTCTAATTGATTATTTATAGATATAGCATTGATCAATATGAGAATACTATATATAACATAAATAAAATTATTCCTTATATTTTTATACTTACGAATATAAATGAGTAGAATAGATTCCTTTTGATATTGATGTACAGTTCGATTCAGTACTAGTTGTTGAACGTTGTTGTCCAATATTTTCAGCAAAACCACTATCGTGAGAGCGATCAACGGCTGGACCCCACTAAAATATATATACATATATATGTTAGACAATAAATGAAATGAAATATATAAATTACTAATGCAAATTTATAATTATTTGATTGTGATGAACGTGAAAAATCTTTCGAAAAAAAAGGATGATTACAAATTTCTACAAATCAAAAATGAAAGAAATTAATTTATTTTTCTTATCAAAAAAAATAATAATTCAAACCTATTATATTCGGTCGTGATGCAGCTAATTTTCTTAATGTACTATTCACAAGATGTTGAACTTCTTCACTAAATGTTGTTGGTAATTCATATTTTTCATGTGTTACTTTACTTAATGTTCCATGAACAGCTGAAAAATTATATTAATAAAATAAAAATGAAAATTATTATTTTTTTTTTCTAATTTACTATCTGTATCAAATGGTGGTTGTCCAGTTAATAGAGTTGCAATAAGAATTCCTAATGACCATACATCTGTTGCAAAACTATGTGGAGCACGACTTGCAATTTCTCTAAAAACAAAAATAAATTTCATATTCTTTCTTTTTTTTTTGTTGTTGTTCTTTATGAAAAATTTTCATATTTACGGAGATATATAATTTGGTGTACCACATATTGTTTCATTAGTTTGTTCACATGTTAATGGTATTTTTTTTGCTAAACCAAAATCAGCTATTTTCTATAGACAAAAAATATTGATAATTAAATTATTGTTTAAAGCAAAGAAAAAAAAAAGATAATTAAATTTACCACTTCGAATGTTTCATTTAAAAGTAAATTTGAAAGTTTTATATCTCGATGTATAATTCCATGATTATGTAAATAAACAAGACCATCAACAACTTGTTTAACAATCGTTTGTGCTACATAAAACAAATTTTTTTTTTGAATAAACTGAAACAGTAAAAGAAAAAAAAAAGTTATGTTTTTTTTTCACGTACTCTCAGATTCACAAAGTGTCTTTTTTTCTTTTAAATAATGTTCCAAATCACCATGAGAACAAAGTTCAAGGATTAAATAAACATATTTATCATCCTCAAAACAATTTAATAATTCAACTATATTACGATGTTTAACTTGATGATGAATTGTTACTTCAGCCTTTAATCTTTCAGACATTGATGTTGACCGTGAACTAGGTAATAAATGACGATGATTACCATAGGATGGATGATTATGTATATTTTCTGGTTCAAGTTTTTTTCTATCAATCTATTTAGATTTAAATTAATTTAATAAAAGTTTATCTGAGAAGAATAAACAAAAGAAATATAATATATATATATTATTTACCTTTTTACAAGCTACACGAAGACCATCAGCTTTTCGACGTGCTTCATAAACTATAGCAAAACCACCTTTACCAAGTTCTCGAGATAATTCATAATGCTAAAAATAATAAAACAAAATTAATTATAATTTCTTGTTGATTTTATCACCCACATTTATTGTTTCGTCTAACCACATTGCGTACGAAAATTTTTTCAGGCGTAAGAAAAAAAACAATTCCAGAAGGATTAATGTACTAATGTTAAAAGTGTTGCTTTTTGTACTACGTAGAGTAAAATTCAGTACAAATGAAAATTCTTTTTTTTTCTTTATGTCTCTCACATAGAAACAAATCAAAACACATACATTGTATTATTTTTTTTTCTTTTTTTAAAACAAATGTATAATGTCAATTTTACTG